GTAGTAGCAAGCAACACGGCGTGCGGGAAGAGTTCCACTCCAAAATGGCTTCTTCCTGGAGATAAGGCTTTTAGTGAATTCTGACGGTGTGACGTGTCACCTCACCTGCGGTCCTTCCATCCTGCCTGCTCTACATGGCCAACGCTTGTGGAAACCTGACCAACATGCCTATATATGAACCTGATGGACATCTCATTCCAAGTGAGCTTTACCATCCACCACTCTTCTGGGTGGTCTTTCTGCAAGATGTTGGACGCTGCCTGTGGGAATCTGTGCCCATTTGTGAGGTCAGGTGCTGATGTTGGATGAGAAGACCTGACTCACAGTCTGCGTTCCAGGTCATCCCCAAGGTGTTCAGTAGGGTTCCTGTCAGGGCTTTGTGCAGAACACTCAAGTTCCTCCACAGCAGACCCATCAACCAATGTCTTTATGGAACTGGCTCCACTCTTCTGAGAAGGCTTTCCAAGACATTTTGAAGTGTGTTTGGGAATTTGTGCCCATTTGTATGGTCAGGTCCTGATGTTGGATGAGAAGACCTGACTCACAGTCTGTGTTCCAGGTCATCCCTAAGGTGTTCAGTAGGTTGAGGTCAGGACTGTGTCGAGGAACTACACTCGAGTTCCTCCACCAAACTGGTCACACCTTGTCTGTATGGAGCTGGCTGTGTACAAAGGGGACAGTCATGGTGGAACAACAAAAGGGCCTTCACCAAACTCTTACCACAAGGTTGGAGGAGCACAGTTGTAGATGTATGATGTAGCATTAACAGAACCCTTCACTGGAAACATCGAAGCTCTATCATTTGAAGTGTGTCTGGGGGAATTTATATCCATTTGTGAGGTTAGGTACTGGTGTTGGATGAGAAGATCTGGCTCACAATCGGCATTCCAGTTCATCCCAAAGGTGTTCAGTAGGTTGAGGTCAGGACTGTGTGGAGAACACTCGAGTTCCTCCACTAAACTGGTCACACCATGTCTGTATGGAGCTGACTGTGTACAAAGGGGACACTCATGGTGGAACAGAAAAGGGTCTTCACCAAACTGTGACCACAAGACTGTAAGAGGACAATTGTCTGCAATGCCTTTGTATGCTGAAGCATTAGCAGAACCCTTCACGGGGAACATCTGAACTCAGCCATTGGAGGGGGGCACACAAGCTTTCGTATATATATATAGTAGGTGGGTTGGTCAGCTGTCCACATGCTAGTGGCCAAATAGGTAGGTGGGATGGTCAGGTGTCCACAAGCTTTTGGCCGTATAGGTAGGTGGGATGGTCAGGTGTCCACATGCTATTGGCCATATAGGTAGGTGGGTTGGGCAGGTGTCCACATGCTGTTGGCCATATAGGTAGGTGGGATGGTCAGGTGTCCACATGCTATTGGCCACATAGGTAGGTGGGTTGGGCAGGGGTCCACATGCTATTGGCCAAATAGGTAGGTGGGATGGTCAGGTGACACAAGCTTTTGGCCATATAGGTAGGTGGGATGGTCAGGTGTCCACATGCTATTGGCCACATAGGTAGGTGGGTTGGGCAGGGGTCCACATGCTATTGGCCATATAGGTAGGGGGGTTGAGCAGGTGTCCACATGCTATTGGCCATATAGGTAGGTGGGATGGTCAGGTGTCCCCATGCTATTGGCCATATAGGTAGGTGGGATGGTCAGGAGTCCACAAGCAGTTGGCCTTATAGGTCGGTGGGATGATCAGGTGTCCACCATGCTTTTGGCCATGTAGTGTACCTCCTACCATGACAGTGTTGTGAGGTTAGGGTGTAGGACAGTTAGGTGTGCCGGGACACAGCCGTCACTCAGAACCACACTGCAGATATAGCTAATCTCCTCCACAATATAATCTCCATACAATCGCCATGTGCAGAAGCTGTGGACCTTCACCTGAACCTGTCATGACAAAACAGCGACTGGACTAACATTAGGAGGTAACAGAAGCCATCAGAAGGCACCTCCGCTTGGTAGAATGACCCCCAACATACCAATTGTATCCTCGGTATGCAAAAAGAAAGACTCCACATCAGAGGTCAGACGTAACCTGGCGACCCACAATGCAATGTGGCATCTCCTATTTGGCCAATGAAACCCCTACATGGTATTTCGGTCCCCTGGTACCTGCAAGGTTCAGGGGACGTCCTGGAGCTTCCACGTGGCACAAAGTGCAGATATTTGTACACGGCTCCATTGTATGGTTCCCGCTGTTACCTGATAATAGTAAGTGTAACGTTTCCTCATGACAGGTTCAGTTTACAGGTGGCAGTCCTTGTATCTAAAGCCAAAACTTTTTTTTATTCTTATGAGTAGGGAAAGGGTTAAAACTGCTCTCCGAGTATTTTTCACCATCTGTGTCCCATTCGCAAGGTCTGCCTTTCTGTAGACACAAGAAGTGAGAGGAAGTCCCTCCAAAGTGAGGGAAGGTTGTCACCAGAGCAGGTGCCCCCACCGGAAGATTCACGCTGAGCTCCGGCCCTCCCTTCGGTCTTGCTCTAACCCAGGGGTGTCAAACTCGATTTAATGGTGGGCCGCATCAACATAATGGTTGCCCTCAAAGGGCCGGTTGTATCTGTAAGACTATATAAGTGTATCTAATCTTTATCATCATTGCCTCTGCATTCCATGATCACGGGTTTTAGTAATAACTTAACACCTAGATCTGAAAGTAGAAGTTTAGGAAATGGCCTGGTGGGCCGGATTCGGCCCCTGGGCCTTGAGTTTGACACATGTGCTCTAACCCCTCACCAGATAAATGTTTTGGCTTTATACACATTTTTAACATCAACCTTCCAAAATACATCGTCGTCGTTGTTATTGAACAGCGAGAGCGGTACTTGTCTCTGCTCTCCTTCTCCGTTACCTGAAGCTTCAGGTGAACTTCACAGTAGACCCGCCGACCGGCGAGGACGAGACATTTTCGAGGTTTTTGCTGAGATCCACGAGGACGCGTTCTGTCGGCAGTTACGATTTTGGCAGGAGCAAGCTGGGGATCCGGACCTAACAGAGGATGTCATTCATCAGAACTAGATGATATCATCTGCTGGAGACGAGAGAATGGAACCAGCCGGAAAAATGGACCCCCGGGAAAGGGCCGGGACATCTGACGCTCATTGGTTGGTTGCGATAGGAAAGCAAGAGAAGGGCGCACGGACCCAGGGCAACGAAAGGCGACTTATTCATGTGTTAAGCCAGTAAGTGGCTCACAAGAGAATGTCTTGCAGCAGAGCCTCAGGCCCAGTGGTAGAAAAGCCGTGTGGTCAATGGTGGTGGGGACCACACTGTGGTCAATGGTGGGGTTGTGTGTCAGATCTCCTGCGTGGATCACCCATCTGGAAAGGCTTAGTGGTGGAAACAAGCCGTGTCCTCCATCACGTAGGAAGCATCTCAGAGACGCAGTTCCTGTGCAGATTGTTGTTTGTTGCTTTTATACTGTAACGCTATTTGGACTGACCCTCAAGAGGTGCAACTAAACCTTGACCCTCAGCTCTCTTGTGAATGTCCGAGACCCACTTACATGGTGATAAATGTCCGAGGAACATTCCTCTAAGATGGAGGTTCTCAGGATGTTCAGAATGATGGACACCAGTCACTTTTGTTTTAGGTTTTAAAAGGTTTATTGCCCGTAGGCATGGAGGAATAGGAAAGAGGGAGCACAGGATACGTTTAGATAATACTTAACACACAACCCTTGGTCTTCTAACTCTCCGGGTCCCTCTCACACGGCTATACTGGCTGGACTCCTAAACCCTAAAGTGGCTCCTTGGCAACTGAAGTTCAAGTGGTATCTTAGAGTTGAAGGCAGTAGTTCTAGGCCTCCATAGAACTTAATTCCATAGCAGCCAGTATCTTCAAGGGGTCCTCCCGGGAGGGTGGATCCTTGCAGCTTCCCATATTTCCAGGCGCTAAGGCCTAGGAAAAGATCAAAATGTTACAGCAGCATTCTCCAAGGGCAAAACCCTGGAGGGAAGACCATGTGCCAAGAGGTTTCTCAGATGTTTAATATCTCTGCCAGCATGCATCAGCAGGCCTCTAAAGCCAGACATCATCAGCTCTATGTAGGGGACAACTGCACTAGGCCAAAGTATCATTCCATAGCAGCCAGTATCTTTATGGGGGGTCCTTCCAGGAGCAGCTACATGCAGCTTCCTAAGTTACCAGGTCCCAGGGCATAGGACAAGATATTACAGCAGTATCCTCCCAGGGCAAAACAATGGATGGAAGACCATGTGCCAAGAATTTCCTCAGATATTCAATACCTCTCCCAGCATGCATCAGCATGTACCGCACCCTGTAGAGGTGCCGGGAGCTAGAATGTGACATCACTCCGGCCCAGGCACCTCTACAGGACACGTGAGGGAGCTGTAAGCAATGCCCGTATGGATGGAGCTCCCTCACGGCCACAGCTCCAGCCCACCTCAAGCTGACACTCGGCGCCGGGCAGCATATTCGGAATGGCTGCTCGGCGCGAGAACTGACAGTGCTGCGCTATGGAGGAGGCTGAGGAGCCTCTCACCTAGAAAAGTGGAAGGCACGCGGCGACCCGCTGAACAAGAGGTCGCGAACCCGCTTTTGGGTCACGACCCACCAGTTGAGAACCAAGGATTTAGATGATCCCTCCATGCCTGGAGAACACTAGGCAGCACAATGCTAAGCTGTCTATGTCACCACATTAATAAAATCTCCTTGTATTGCGCTGGGTCAGTGCGCTCTTCTCTTGCTTTAGATGTGAGAGATCCTTAGGAGCAGCTGGACCGAGCGCGGTCGCGGATGTTCCTTGATGTTTGCACAGAAAGCAGAAATAGGCCTTTGTGATTGTTCTTTTTCCCCCTCTTTATACTTCGCACATCGCTCCCGTACCCAATTTCTTCTTGGTTTTCTTCTGGTCGGTCACACCTTCATCCCTCATGTGGACACTTCTATGCCGTAATATAAACCGGTCCCTACTTCCTGCCTGCCACCTCGTTCAGAAAAGCAGGACGTTTCCCTTCGTATAATATTTCTAGGTGGACGGACGTCTGGCTGACAGGTTCCTCAGAGGACCGTTTTCATGGTCGTCCTGCAGTATAAGATTTCGCCATGCAGATGAATATCTGTAGCTGTAGATCTTTGTTCCGAGAACACTTAGGAGCGAACAAGGAATTGTGGGGACCCCCCTCCATGGTAGATAGTGTAGTCTATGCAGTTGAGTGAATATCTGGGGGGGGTCCACCAATGAGGCATCTGCTGCAGGCAAATCCCTTTCAAATGGCCGTCTCATTGATACGTGGGGATTAGTAGACTGACGTGGGCAGCGTTTAAGTAGATAAAGTCTAGTCACTTATTGCAAAAATTCATTACATCCACTGGCACACACACCCCCCCCCCCCACCCCCAATGGTGTGGACAGTAGACACCCACACGGTAGGGGCTTGGAGGGGGTCTTCTACCTCCGTCATGATCGAGAATTCGTAAAGGAGGCGACCAATCGCTTCCGTCGCGTCCAACTCACTCTCCTTTCCCGGAAGCTTTTATCCGGGCGACCAGTTCGGACAGCTGCTGCGGAGAAGCGAGCGTCCTCAAAAGGTTATTTTCATGTTCCAAAAGAGCGTTCCGGTCCGCAAGCTCTTTAATTTGTTCTTTTAGAGCCTCAACTTCCTCACGTACAGCAAACAGGAGGTGAGTTTTTACCAGGTCCTGAGCAAAGGTAAAGCCAATAAATTAGTACAGGAATAGTATATATATATATATACACAGGACAGGATGGAGGTGCAGTGACAGCGCTGTGTGGGGGGTCAGTACAGGAATAGTATATATATATATACAGGACAGGATGAGGTTCTGTGTGCTGGTGGTGCACATCCCTTACCATGGCTTGTTCGATCTTGTTGTCTATGGCTCCCGTACTGTTGGGTGCACTGTGGAGACGGAGAGAGAAGGAGATCAGTCAGCGTCTGGATGTTAGCTGGGTGACCCTTGTATATTTGGGTTCTGTGTACAGGCGACTTTAGATTCTCATGCCTACGTGTGAAATTCACACCTCACATTCCTAGGAAATCTTCCTACGCGCTGTACTCTCAGTGCCTCTCACCCACGGGTATCAGTGTCCTCAGGATTTGAGACACGGCTGTAGAAATCACAGTCATGCGGGGCTAAGTTTTGGGCTCTAACAGGTCCTCTTTGAACACAGAATCCTTCTGTGTCACTGGCCCACTGAACTATGTTCTCGTAGCTTTGCTGTATTTTCCGTAGAGGGAATGGCGGACGCAATCCTTTCCTTAGAAAGGCGCGGGGCGATTGTCACTGCCAGCTCTGCCATGGCTCCTTCCCACTGGAATGGAGCAGATCCCGAATGGTCACATGACTATGCTGTGCAGGAGGATAAAACTGCTGAACCATCAGCTACTCCTGCCTTCTTTCCCATGATTCCCTACGACTGGAGCTACGGCTATCATGCCGCTTTATCCTTTTGCCCGGTAGCTGGTGTCTCACCTGTCCTGGTCGTTCCCATCTCCCATCCGGAACACAGTCTGAGCCAGTAGAAGCCTCTCATTGAAGACATCAGACTTTGGGCGGCTGGGGCGGTTGTCACTCTGTACCGTGATGATGGGTGAGGCCGGCTGTGGCAGTGGAGAGAGCTACCAAAGAGAAAAGCAAAACGATGATCATTTCTTTAAACATCCCAATATTACATTATATACTCAAATATTTGTGAGACTTGACCATCACATCCACCATATGGCCAGAGATATGTGCCCCCAGTGGCGTCATTGGAGGGGTGTCACCCCCCTCTGAAAAGTTGGGCACTCGGTCATGGACCGAACGCCCGACAGTATCAGGAGAGAGGAGGGGACTCGCGGCATACCTTATCCAGCCGGGTGACTCCTCTCTTTGCCGGTGTCCATCACCAAGATGGCCGCCGGCAGGTATGAGAAGATCGCTGTGCGTGCGCGATGACGTCTCGTGGGGTTAAACCCGGTAACCGCTCCAGGTGTCACCCAGCCTCGGGACGCCCCTGTGTGCACCCGCTCCAAATGATTAGGTTTAGGGGTCTCCAGTGAAGGTTCTGTTCATCCTACATCATACAAAGACATTGTAGACAATTGTGATCTTCCAGCCTTGTAGTCACAGTTTGGTGAAGACCCTTTTCTGTTCCACCATGACTGTCCCCTGTGTACAAAGCCAGCTCCATAAAGACATGATGTGACCAGTTTGGTGAAGACCCTTTTCTGTTCCACCATGACTGTCCCCTGTGTACAAAGCCAGCTCCATAAAGACATGGTGTGACCAGTTTGGTGGAGGAACTCCAGTGTCCTGCACATCGCCCTGACCTCAACCCTACTGAATGCCTTTGCGATTAATTGGAACCTCAACCGCAAGCTGGGTCTTCTTGTCCAAATCCGTACCTGACCTCACAAATACTCTTTAGGCTAAGAGGGCCCAAATTTCAATAGACACCCTCCAAAATCTCGTGGAAAGCCTTCCCAGAAGAGTGGAACCAGCTCAGTGACAGCATGGTTTCATGGGTTCGATGTGGAAAAACGCAAGTGGCTTTGGCATAGCCAAGGCCATCTTTGGAATGAATTGGCCAATTGTGAGCCAGGTCCCACAAACACACTTTGAAATGTCTTTTAAAGCCTTCTCAGAAGAGTGGAGCCAGTTCCATAAAGACATGGGTTGATGGGTTTGCTGTGGAGGAACTTGAGTGTCCTGCACAGAGCCCTGACCTCAACCCTACTGAACACCTTCTGGATGACCTGGAACACAGATTGTGAGCCAGATCTTCTCATCCAACATCAGTACCTGACCCCATAAATGGGGAGGATGTTATAACCACAGGGGGGGGGGGGGGGTCACT